AACTACCAGAAAAACCTCATTCGTCTTAGCTCACCCCCAATCTAAATGCAAATATTTCACTTATTTGATGTACAATTTTACATAAGATTGCAGCAAAATCTCCCGCTATGGTGGCGTGTCTGCCTTTCTGCCTATCGAAATGTATCTCCACATCGCTAGATGAGGCTGATAGAATAGCTTTATAAGTGTCACTTCAAGGGTAATGAATCACGGTCTCTGAAACAGCAGACATCTAAAGCTTTCATTATGTACTCTGAAACCGAATTACATTACTGTATGATCATTCTTCTCCCGTGCCCACCCACCACAGCCATCCCCCCGCCCCCCCTCCCCCAACCCCCCACTCCCGCGACGCCAATCGTTCCTCATTCCAATTCTTTCTAAGTATGAATCCTGGACATGAGCTGGAGTGGCAACGTGTGCGATTTCACCCACATACTTGACATTGACGTCGCATATCCTTGCGTTTGCCAAGGTGAAGAGGGGGCTTGGTAAACCTCCTCACAGTAATTGCTCACATTGGGGTTGGGGTTGGGGGTTGGCAAAAAAAAAAAACATCCATCGCTTGTTCGGAGTCAAAGTCCTCTTTATTTGAATGCCTGCCCCCACCCCGCATCATCTCATGGCCCGATTGTTAAGAGAAAGAAAGTAAATAACTCGTTCCTTTGAGTGGTTTAAAGTGGCTTGATATCTCCATTATTATGTTTTCCTGTTCGTCACTGGAACCTCAGTTGTGCTGAGCTGAGTGGCAGTGCAAATTCAATCTCACAAGCGCTGACAAAGAGAGACAGTAAAAGGTACTCAAGAAGAGTCAGCGGTCATCTTAAAACGTGTAAAGCAATTTACCTAGCCCCCTCGCTTACACCCCCTCCCCTCCCCCGCCAACACACACACACACACACACACAAATTACGATAAAAACGACAGCGAAAGGCACATTCAGAGGTACGTCCATTATATCTGGTGCTTGGCGAGTTTATCAACACAGAACAAACATGACAAAGACGACACCGCTTGGAACTGAGAAAAAAGAACTTATATCGCACTTGAAAATGGGGTTGTTATCGGTGGCAATTTGCAGGAGCCGAGTGAGAAACCGCAGGCATGAATGGAAGTGCAATGCAACCAATATAAACCCCTCACTTTCCGAACATTACACTCATATCTGGAAGAAAACTGAATAATATTAGCAGGGAAATTACTGCTATCCGACATTAATAATAATTAAACATACGCTACTGGAACAAACAATTCACAGCAGATTCCTATTGAAATATAATTGCTCGAGCAGATTCTAGGTTTTGTCTCCTTTTTGCTTAACCCTGGCTAGCAGATCTCCCGAACTTCATACTAAAGCCATATAATGCATACAGTTCTGGTCACTGCAACATATGGAGATCCTCGGTCCTCCTTGAGGCAATACTGAGGAGAACAATGAGGATGATCCCCCGAGAATCAGCTGTGAGCAACAATTAGACAGGCTACGGCTCTTCAGTCTTGAGAGCAGATGTCTCAGGGGGCTTGTATAGAGTTGTATAACATTTTAAATGGAATCGAAAGGACACAATGATCCTATCAATGGTAGTTGCCATTCCAGGACTCTCCGCGCTGTAATTAAGAACTCGCAAAGTTAGCGAAAAATTGTGTTCCCGCTTGTTTTTCAAAGCGGGCAGTCTGGAAAGTGAGCAAGCACAGAATGAGAAATAATAATAATAATAATAATCCTTGCATTTGATACCATCAAGCCTTCCTCCTCTATGGTGGTTTCCACTGAGCCATGCTATCAGAACCAATGGAGGAAAAGTCTATATATCTACACTCTCAATCCCCAACAGTACTGAAAAAAAGCCACTATTATTTATTCCCCAAACTCTTCATTTCTGATCCGCTACCCTCCACGGACAACATTTCCTTCCCTCTAGGCCTGAGCAATATAGACCTTTGTGTCCACTGAGTAATGCTGTGCCCATTCAAGGGATTTTTGCTCGAAGGAATCCACTTCCCATCAGGGAAAAGAGCTGGAAAATGAGTTTAATAATAAAAGTGGGTCTGAGAAAAACACTTTGGAGTAGGACAGTCAGGGTGAGCTGATGGTCTTGAACTCTGCTGAAAATGCTTGTGTGTTGTATGTGTGTGTATATGTTTGTGTGTGTGAGTAGGGGGGGATATTGTTAATCCATCCTAGAGCCATGGGATGAACGTCTACATCTAGTTGAACTCAATGCTATGGAAAAAGGAATAGTCTCACTGATGCCATAGAGGATGCTGTACTGAGGTTGAGGCTAAGGAAGCTTTTCTCTATATCTGTCATTGCTGGAGCTGAATTGGAAGAGCTTACTGCTGACTGGCTCTTTGAGCAAGGAAAAGACATCGAAACACGTACACATGCACAAAACACCCACAACTGCAATTAACCCTCATTAACGATTGCACAAACTCTTGTCGGTAATTGCCCCTCTTCACAAGAAACAGAGCATCCAATTGGGATCAGTGATTTCAGTAACGCTGCAAGTCAGTCCAGCTCAGGCTTCCCCGTCAAGGGATTCATGAGCTGTCCACTAAAACCATTTTAAGTAAACGCAACATATGGTGCCATGACACCAAAAGGATAAGATTCTGGGGAGCGTTCCTCTACCTCCTCACACCCAAGTCTTTGATCCTCAATCCTCTGTCTGTTTATACTCAACACAAATCTCCACCCATTCCCTTATCCCCTCCCAAACCCTTCTATTCACCCTTCTCCCTCATGTGAAGGTCTAGCTTTCTGGGGATGGAGTGCGGGATTAGGATATATTAAATATATATATATGTGTGTGTGTATTAAAGCAATATTTATTTCTTAAGAAGAAACCCGGATTGTCTGGCGGAAAACCACAAGAAACTCTCTTCGTAAAGGTTAATTCATCACCCTTTACTAACCTAGTTTCTGCAACTTGTTCTATCTCTTGAAGAACTGCAAACACAGACTATCATTATTTTCTTATTCTTAATAGAATTTTAATAATTGATGCGATGCTTCCAATCCCACTTTCCAATGGATTTCTGCAGGTTTTTATTTTTGCTTAGCAAGGCAGCGGGGGTCTGATGGGAATTACGGCAGTTTGTTGAAACAGCTTCTAAACTGCTCTCAGAGTGTTTCCAGACCACAGTGAGAGCTCGCTCTAATGCAACATTAGGTGCACTATTAGAACACTTAGCATTACCTCAGTTATTCTAACAGACAGTGCCAAAACTCAGGAATGGTCTTATTTATGTGACTAAAATGTTCTGCAACACTGCACAGGTTGAAGCAAAGGAACGCTGATATTGGTCACATATTAAGATGGGCGTCCAAGGAACTGAAGCACCCATCTGAGGTCCGAGTGATGACACAATCGGGGCAGACACCTATCTGGACTATAAAGGACCATTATCATCTGTCCCAAATGCTAACATGTGTATACCAATCAGGTTGCAAACCTGGAGATAATTTTTTGTCTAAGAGAGTTGCTACGATCTGAAATGCACTGCCTGAAAGGGTGGTGGAAGCAGATTCGATAGTAGCTGCTTTCAAAAGGGAATTGGATAGGTACTTGAAAAGGGAATATTTGCAAAGCTATGGGGTAAGAGCNGGGGGGAGTGGGATCAGTTGGAAGCTCTTTCAAAGAGCTGGTACAGGCACGATGGGCTGAATAGCCTCCTTCTGTGCTGCAAGATTGCATGATTCTATGGTTCTACGGTAACTGGCCCACTCTTCACAGCTGAGTGTTGGCAGACTGGTTGGTTCTTTGGCGAAGAGTTACACCAAGACCAAATTTCACTCACTGCGTAGTGATCAAGGCCAGTAGTGAGCTGAAGTAACTCCGAGGATAGAGATCTAGCAACTCTCAGAGGTCAGGCCAGGACTGAACCTGGGATATTCCTTGTATGCATTGGGTTAGTGCAACATCTCACACTACGTTCACCCACCAAGAACCATCGAGGAAGCAAAGCTATTTTTTGAAAAAAATATTCACTTTTCCAAATATTATTTGAATTAATATTCCAGAACATGACACCCACCGACAAAAAGCAAAACTGTTCACTTTGGAGAAGAGAGAAAACAAAGGCTTATTGTCCTCTCGAGTGATTTACTGGTGAAGATCTGCCTTCCTCTCTCTCAGCAATGTAAATGTTAATCTGTCCAGAACCTATCCGCTTGCAAGGAGTCTAATCAGGGCTTGTGTCAATGCCCTTCACATACACAGCAAAGTACCATTCCGACAACTGAGAGCAGCCGGTCATCTGCTACCTGTGGTTTTACAGTTTCAGTAAGTACACAACTGCACTTGTCCACCTAGTACCTTGGGTTGGGGCTTAAGACATATCTACATCTTCAAGTCTCACTCATTAGTCAGCGAGGCTGGAGGTTTGTCCAAGGTGCCCTGCATCCTAGCATTCCATTGGCCTGTGACTGCATGTCGGTGCCCCACTGGATGATAATCGCACTCAAATTAGATAGATTTCTGTTTGGAAATAACATCTCAGGATGCAATATATAGTTTGGGACATGACATGTGCATGCAACCGCCAGGATGGTGGAAGGCGAACTGGATGCACCTTGGTCTTTTCTCATCTACCAATTCTTATGCTCTTATGTTATCTTAGCTCTGCTAGCAACTTTCCGAGGTCCAATTTTCATGGTCATATTATCATTCAACTACAGGTTTCAAGAACAGGGCTGGGCCGTTTGTCTAGTACTCCAGATATCAACATCTTCTGCACTAAAGACATTCATTCCCTTATACAAGCCTGTCAGACGAGGTTCTTTGACTGTGTCTTTAGAAAACTCCTCATTAAATTCCAGCTGGAACATGAGCTGAAACAATCAGCCTGGGCTGGGCTGGGCCGGGCCAGGCTGAGTTGAGGAGAAAAGCGTGAGACAAGCAGCTCTGTGATACTTGCTATTTTTAAACGTGAGCGGGTTCTATTTTTGGGAAGGGGGTGGGGGGCAGTGGGGGGAATAAACATGTCGGCTTTACCTTGCCTGGAGAATTCATCCGACTCTCTGTGGACCAGTTCCGTGACGCGAGTGCCGTAATGGAGCCTTGCGTCGTGATCGTAGGCTTTCAGGGTCTCGGTGGAGCTGTAGGATTTCTGGGTTGGGACACGGCACTCCTCGCTGTCCAGGGAGGAGCTGGTGTAGCGACATTCCTTCACGCAACGGCCTCGGGTGAGCGAGCGGTGTCGGCGGTCCTTGACGTCCATGTTTCCTTTCACTGGAGGATTGTTCGGTAGAGATCCACCCGCTCTCACCCCCACCCCACCCCACCCGGTGTTGTTGAGATGGTTGTCGGTTCAGTTCGGATTAACCTGGAAGAAAACAAGACCAACGTTGAGCCATCGACCCCCAAACCAACTGAGTGTTTTTTGTTATAATAATCTTGCATTTGATACAGCGCCTTATCACATCTTTCAGACGGCTCAAAACGCCTCACGCAACATACTGTAAAGCGAATTGACTGTGTATTTTGTGGAAGAAACGCAGCAGCCAATTGCGCACAGAGGCGTCCCCACAAACAGTCGTAGATTGAAGTGACCAATATATTATTGGATTCACTGCTAGGTAAACAGAGGCTTGTGGAGTAAGGAAACTTGGCCAATGTTTCGTCCTGCTGGGAATCGAACCCATTCCTCTTGCTTGCGAGGCGATTGCTCTAACCGCTGAGCTGCAGGACTCCACGTATAGTCTTGTGCATGTGTGAACTCCTATATGATAACAGTAAACACTGTTTACTGGAGTAAAGAGCATCAGTGACTGAGGATGTCAGAGTGACAATGAGGGACTGTGAGTGACTGGGCTATCAGAGTAAGAGCAAATAACGCTGATAAGCACTGAGTGAGAAAGCTAAGGAGCACTGGTAACGATGGGATGAAGTGTTGGCCATGTGAGTGTGTGCAAGCACATGAATTGTGCTGAGTGACAGTGAGTGAAGCCCCTTTTCCTGCATTGCAGATAGAGCAGAAAGCAGATACCAATTACAGCTACTGCATGTGAGTTGGAGAGACAGTCGAGGGGTGAGTAGGGAATGGGGGCTGTCAGGAGAGAGGTGGTCCTGGGTATAGGGCTGATCAGATTAGAGGCACAGGGAATTCCACTGGGCTGTTTATATCAGGCTGATTCAAATTCTCTTACATTGGAGTCAGTTTCAATCTAACACCGAGAACAGAAGTTACACTCAGAGATCAATGGAGAATTTCTTCCCGGTTCCAATAAAAAAAAATATCCAAAGCTTTTTGCCGTCCAGAGAATCGCGAAGGCAAATTATATTCCCTTTTTAAATAAAATACATTGGGGAAAAAAAAACAGTGCACTCCTAGCTGATGAATGATTTATTAATCTGCTATTTTGTGACTCCCTTTTCCGGACATAAAACAGACACAGATTCCCTCTTGGTGGCAGCACATAATAATAATCTTGCTTTTGATATAGCGCTTTGATACGTCATTGAAATGTCTCCAAATGTTTCAAAGGATTAACCGTAATGTGATTGTGTTTGTAGGCAAACGCAACAGCCGATTTTTACACGCCAATGTCCCGCTAGAAAAACAACAAGAGGACAAGAGATAGAGGAAGCAAGAGAGAGAGAGAGAGTGAGTGAGAGAAAGAGAGAGAGAAACACACGAAAACCTGCACTGATTGATGCAAAAAAGCACTGACTGACAGGCAGCCTTGTGACTGTCGTAAAGGTGACGTGCCCGGGACTGATGGATTAGCAGAGGCTGCCAGAGACAGTCAGCCCATATCATTCACTTCATTCATTACTTGCTTAGGCTCCTGTTACAGTTCCGTTCACTGATAGATTTTTTTTACAAAGATGGGGAAAGATGCTCCCGTCCCTCCCCTTTCGCACAATCCAACTGCAAACGGAGCAAATTACACAAGAACCCCATGATGAGATCATCACAATAATAATTATAATAATCCTTGCATTTGATATAGCGCCTTATCACGTCTTCAAGACGTCTCACATAAGAACATAAGGATATCTAGACGAAAGAAGACTAAGGTCCATCCAATTCGCCTTCCACTATCTTGTTAGTTTGAATACACACGTCCCGAACTATATACTGTATCCCTCAATAGTATTTCCTAAAATAAACGTATCTAATTTACTTCTGAAGGAAAGACATTCTTATTCTTATTCGCCTGCAAATACACAATCGATACACCTCCATTGCAATCCCTGTTAATTGCTTTGAGATGTTTTGATCTCAATGTGATGAGGCGCTGGATCAAATGTTGGGCTTATTCTTACATTGAAGGAACAATGAAATCAAGTGCAAGCCGACAAAACAAAACACAAACGGTTAATTCGGTCTGTTCCAATTCATCACTTGGTGGGACTCCAATTAACCGGGTTTGAAATTCATGAGATGCCTAAACCCAGGGGGTGGGTTCCCAGGTGGTCGGTTAAAAATTTACCATGGCTCCAGGCTGTCAAAGATTACACAAGTCGGGTGTTCAAGAGCACCCAAGGATCTGTGGAAGGTTGCGTCAGAAATGAGCAGAAGCCGAGAGTCTCTGTGGGAACGTTAGAACTGACAGCTTTTAACCAGACTTCTGTGACTGCCAGGCGAAGTGTGGTGTTTAGTTTTGCATCTGCGCCCTTCAAACAGAGGTCAAATTAGGGAGAGTACACTACACTCGGGGTAAGACACAAAAACAACGAGTTTAGGAATCAGGATTCTGAGCCATGGGTTCAAAAGGGAGCTTCTCTCTCCCAGTCTCCTGGCTGACAATCTCCCCGCCGCTCACGCCCAAATAAAATTGGTCGCTTACTCCATGACTGTTTGTGGGATGTTGCTGTGCTCAAGTTGGCTGTCGGGTTCGTCCACAAAATGCACACAATCACACCACTTCACAGTGTATCCTGTGAAGCGCTCGGAGGTGTCCTGGCGATGTGATAAAGTTCTATATCAAATGCAAGGATTGTTACGATTATTATTTATTGGAAAATGGTCAGGAACTCATCGTATGAAACGTCTAGAGAAGCAGGTGTTGCAGTTCTGATTTTGCAAGTTAATAATAATAATGCTTGCATTGCATATGGAGCCCTATCATGTCGTTGAGATGTCTCAAAGCGCTGTACGGAATGTATCGCAAAGTGAATTGACTGTTTTTGTGGGCGGAAAGCGGCAGCCAATTACGCACAGAAGTGTCCCACAAACTGACATGGAGTGAATGACCAAATTATTTTTTTTTGAGGTGGGGGGGGGGATTATTATCCCCGGAAAGCAATCTGCCATTCGACTAACCAGCCAGCCGGAGAAATCGTAGCCGGGTCGTCTCGCTTGCGAGGCGAGCGCGCTAACCACTATGTTCCACGTTCTTAAAATGCGCAATGTGGAGGGCTTCATTTTTAACTCAGGTCTTGGGACTGATTGAATGCCACATATCAAGCAGTGATGGGGCAAGGAGGGGCAGGAGAGCTAAGGAAGAACTGGGAGCTGTTTACTTCTGGCGTCAAGGTTCAGGGCTAGTCTAGTCTACGCTGACGGGATAAAGGAATACTCATCTTGACAACTGAAATGGTCCTAACTGAACATTGCAGCGTTAATCTACGGCTGCCAGTCTACAGCTCGCGAACTCCCATGATACAAGACTAGTTCATGCTGAATGAACATCGCACTCGCGGAAGCCACGAGGCGAGGTTGGTTTGGGTAAAGGAACTGTTATTTCGGGTAATTCTAGTGGCAATACACTGGCAAAGTCATTGAGTATTTGCATCTTACTGGAGAAAAAGTCTAATGGCTTGCTGTTGTATTTGGAGCTTGCTCAGGCTGAGAATAATTAAGGCACAACCTTGTGTAAGCTAATCTCTGTATCAAGCGCTCCAGATTCAGACATGGATAGGATGCAGGATACAGTGATACATCCTTATATGTAGGATATAGGATAGACAAAGGGATATGGATGCTGGATCCAGTTAAATTTTCAAGACTGAAGTGGATTGATTCTTGTTAGGTAAGGGTATCAAGGGATATGGATCAAAGACAGGTAATTGGAATTCAGGTACAAATCAGCCATGATCTAATAGAATGCGGAACAGATTCGGGGTGGGTGGGGGGGAGGGTGTGTGTGCTGAATAGCCTCCTCCTGCCTCCTGCACATAGTTGGCTTCTTTTAATATGACTCTGACTGTCTGCTCGACACTATCTCGGGACGTCTGTGCCAGAGTGACATGTCTCAGTTTTCGCTCAATGCGTCTCGATCTCTGATTGAGATTCCCCAGAGATAAATGGTGAACAGTTGGACTGGGACTTGCAGATATTGGAACTGCTATTGGCCTGTCCAGGCCTATTGCACTTAGCGAACTTAACAGTCAGTCGTGTGGAGACTTTAATCCTGTTATTTTGGTCTGGATTCAAACATAGTTCCCAGAGGTGAAAAGACAATGTCTTGACCTCCTGCAGCACTCAGCCCCCACCGTCCAAAGAGCAGGGACGCAATGAGCAGATAAAGAACCTCATCTGTATTATTGTCCTCACTGATTCTGCTGGAGGTTAAATACAGTATCATAGTTAACATCACTCGGCGAACATCACTCACAGATCACACGCTGCATTGATTATTCTCACATCCATCGTATAAATTTAATCAATGAAAAAGTCATTCTTATCAGCTAATAAGAATTTGATAGAGGCTAAGCTTACGTCAATGGGTATCTTTTGGTGGAAATGGAATAGCCAAGTCATTGTGCATTTGCATCTTAATAGAAAAAAAAGTATAATGATCTAAAAGCAGCAAAATGTATTTATTAAAGAAAAAGAAAGCTGAATGTCAGTTAATACCGGCGACTTGGAAATAACTGAGCTCAATCAGGCTATACAGTGGCATCTCAATGCATATCTAATGCCATCCGCAACAGGTCACCAAAAGCCAGCCATGCAGTTGTCAAGGATGGGCAGATTGACAAACGTCATTGAGAGGAAGGCGGAAGATGGGAGGAAGAGAGGAAGAGAAGCAAGCGTCTCAGGAACGGTGCAGAAATCGGCAGGGATGAAGGTAGAAGTAATCAATCACCTTCCCATTAACACCGTATCAAAGCGATTCAATTATAACTCTCTGGGACTGTACGCGATGACACAGACTGATAATATTTAAAGGGGAGAAATAGCATTCTCCGCGCACACACACCCATACACATTAGTCAGAGTTTGAGTTGGTGAATGTCTGTCATATCAGGTGGACGTTAAGATTCCACTTTTCAAAAAGAAGCGAGTTTCTCTGGCTGATTCCCTGGCTATCCACTCTCCA